GGTGAGCGCTGTCCCTTGCAGGTCCCCAGGCTTTCCCAGGCTGCACTCTCATTCCAGTCCCCACTCTCTCTCCCCCAGGCAGCTGACTCTGAAGACCCCCAGGCAGTGACCTACACCCAGCTGAACAGCTTCAAGCTCAGACACAAACCAACTGCAGCCCCTTCCTCCCAGAAAGAGAAGCCCCCAGCTGCGCCCAGTGTGTGCACCCACCTGGCTTGACCACCAGCCCAGGAGAAATCTCAGACCCCACAGTGCAGGGATTGGCACACGGGGGCCTCAGGAGGGACAGGAGCTGCCCCATGCACACCCAGCTAAGGACCACGGGCAGCCTGGGGTCCTGCATGGGACCCTAAGCGATTCTAGACATCACCTGATCCTGTAGTCCAAGGAAGCGGAACGGACACATCTGAATATTTAAGAAATTAGTTTTAAAAGTAAATAAGACTCTGAAAAGGACATCAGAAAAGGATCAAATTTATCATAAAATTAAAAACATACATCAAGTTTATGAAGTGCCCATACTTTAGAGTAAATGAAAGCCCTAAATAAACAAACTGAACCAGAAAAATCACAAAAACTTCAATGATTTACAGTTGCTGAAAAATGGCATTAATTTTGACAAAGTGAGAAAGTAGGAAATAACGATCTTAGCAACCAACACTAATTTAAATTAAAGCAATATAAATACAAATCTGTCCTTTAAATCTAATAGAGTTAATCCAACTCTGGGAACATTGAAAATAAAACAGTATTCACAAAAGAAATACAGAGGAACATGTGTCAGCCTGTGCAGTTGGGGAGACAATGTCCCCACCAGAAACTCTCCCTCGCTTTGCATTAGAGGAAAATGACAGCGCAGGACCCCTGGGTTAAGCAGGAGCAAACAGCACACCCTGGGGCCTAAAAGTGTGAGCGAGGTGGGGCTGCCCCGAGAATCACGGCTGTGTGAGTAATTTATATCGTCAGTGTATTTCACTGCATTCACAGAAAAAAGAAAAAATGTGTTGACCTGACCCGATGAAGAGAAAAATTCCATAGAAAGTCAACAGATGTTCACCATTTCAAGTAATAGAATAAGAGCTCAACTGAATTGCAAAGAAATTTACAAAGGACCTGGAAGAAGCTTCCTACTTACAAAGGAAGTTTGATGTCTTTGCCCCCAAATTAGGAAGGACAGAAAGAACCGAGTCACTGGGCTTCTGCTCAGCATCTCTCTGGAGGTCCAGGCAAGGGCATGAAGGCAGGATGATGACGACAAATAGCAACGACAGTGATGGCGGAGACAGCTGAGGAAGGAGCTGTGACTGCAGAAATTCAAAAAGTCAGTGTGTGAGGGCAGCCTGATTGTGTACATGGAAAACAGAAACAGAAACCAGGAGGAGGAAGATAATAAACATGAAAATACTAAGAAAAAATACTGGATGCAAATGAAAATGTGTGACTGCAGACATCTGTGGATTCCGGCAGAAGCAGACAGAGCCGACCCCGCAGAGGAAACAAAGGAGCCCCTCAGCCTGTGCTCCCAGGAAGTCCAGGCGTGAGGACGCCACACAGGGACGTGTTAGGAAGGGTTTCCGGGGTGGGGAGAGAGAGGCTCACAGAGGACTGACAGGATAGAGAGGAAGTTAGAGCCAGGGAAGGCAGGGCACCCCCAGCTCCCAGGAGGTGACCTAGAACAGTCTTGCAGGGGACAGTGACAAAGGACAGTTCACTTCAGAAAACAACATAAAAGTCAGCAGGAAACAAGGACAGAGATCCTTAGCAAGTGAAAATGAGATGCAGAGAAGGACGGAGAGGGAGGGGAAGGGGAATGAAAGGATGAGGATGCGCTGAATACATGTATCCACCCCCAGGGTGAGTGTAAACAGGATTTCCTGCAAACCTGTACTGGTGAAATTTTTTTAAAAAAGGAAAGCACGGGTGGTTCTCTGTCTCTCTGTCTCATTTTCTGTCTCTGTCTCTGTCTCTGTCTCTCTCCCTGCTGCAGAGTCCTGAGCATGAAGATCCCCAAGAAGTGACCTACACCCAGGTGAGCCCTCCAGATGGAGATGTGGCGGGGTCTCAGCCTCCCTCTCTGTCTCTCTCTCTCTCTGTCTCTCTCTCTCTCTGTGTCTCTTGCTGTCTGTCTCTGTCTCTGTCTCTGTCTCTCTGTCTCTGTCTCTGTCTCTCTCTCTCTTCCCCTTCCTGGCTGCTGTGAGCCTCTTTCCCTGACCTGTGCTGTGAGGTTCCTGTCTCCCCATGGCCCTAAAAGCCGTGCAGCTGGTGACTGTGCATTGTAATCCCTGGAGCTGAGAGTTGAAATCAGCCTTCCCTCATCTAAGATTTTTCAGGCATTTTGTCACAGCGACAAAAAGCTAACACATCTACCTTAGAACGTGTACTGAAGGAAGCTCTTCATGGTTAGACCGAAGGTACCGAACAACAGCACAGGGCTGGGTGTGGCTCAGAGAAAGGCGCCTTCTCAGCATCTGTGAGGCCAGTGCTGTTATCAGCAAGACCCCACAAATAAAATGACAACAAAAGACCAGCGGCATGAGATCATTTCACACTGCAAGTCTCACGGAAGAAGATGAGTATATGAGGAAATACGCAACACTGCTGCACCATGACTAGGGTGTGTAAATCACACGAACTCTGGTGTGTAAGTTAAATACAGCACAGCTGAGGTGGAGTTCACTGACAGAGCACTGGCCTAGCATATTCAGTTCCCTGGGTTTAGTTCACAGTACTGCAGAAGTATTTAAGAGACAAAACTATATTAACTACAGCTTCTGGGCGTGGTGGCATATGTCTGTAATCCCAAAATCAGGAGGCTCAGGCAGGAGAACCACCATGAGTTCCAGCCAACCTGGGTCATATAGGCAAGTGCAAGAAAAGCCTGAATTACATAGCTAGATCCTGTCTCAAAAAAAAAAAAAAAAGCAGGGACGGGGATATAGCTCAGTGGCACAAGTGCCTGCCTGGCAAGTGCAAGGTCCTGAGTTCGATTCCCGCTACAAAAAAAAATTTTTTTTAAACATTATAGCTACAATGTGTTAGTTGACAGCTGAATTAAAACATGTAAATTAAGCAAGAACACAGTGCATGGAAAGGAATAAAAGACAGACTCTCTGTATGCGCTTGAAGGAAACTTGTGAGGGTAGCATGGACTATGTAAAGTGTAGCAGGTCTGCTGCAAACCTCATAGATACTGTTACGGCAGAAATTCCCCTGGCATAAATGGGGCTGTGTTCCACAAGAGACCCGAGTTCAGTGAGAACAAAGCCAGAGTTTAATTTTGAGGCCAGCCACCCTCACTTCCATTTGTCAATCTGGAAGTGGGGCCAATGGCCAACTTTGTTCTACCTTATATACATTTTGGTTTCCATTTTTGGTTTCCATAGTAACAGACTGGGAAGTTACATTCGCTGACCCCGGTGGTCTTATGGTTTTCCTCTCCTCCTGTTGGACCCCAGGTCAGTTGCAGGTCACATGTCTAACCGTGATAGATGTTTCTCCCATTGCCTTCCATTTGTCTCCTTTTTTACAACTATGCTTTCCTTTAGGGTTACAATGTTTACCTAGGGCCAGGAGATGGAACTGCCCAGGCAGGGTCACGGAGGGTTACCTAGGCCTAAGCGCCCCTTATCCCAGGGAGACATTCCTGGGCAGAGTGGATCTGAGGAATTAGCTCTTACACTGTCCCGGGAGGCTTCCCAAGGCACCGCTTAGGCTTTTACTAAAACTATTTTATCTAAAATAATATGCTAGGATTCATCGCCCCCTACAATACCACAAAGTAAAAATCTACAAAAGACACCGGAGAGGAGAGAAGGCAGGGTCATGCTGGACACCTTAGAAAAACTCTGTGTCAATGCAAAATTTGAGAAGGGGTTGGGGTGGGGGCTGGGAATTTAGCTCAGTGGCACAGCACCTGCCTGGCAAGTGCAAGGTCATGAGTTCAATTCCCGGTACTGGAGAAAAACTAAAAAAAATAAAATAAAATAAAATAAAAATAAAGTTGAGGCTGGGGATTTAGCTCAGAGGCACAGCACCTGCCTGGCAAGTGCAAGGTCATGAGTTCAATTCCCGGTACTGGAGAAAAACTAAAAAAAATAAAATAAAATAAAATAAAAATAAAGTTGAGGCTGGGGATTTAGCTCAGAGGCACAGCACCTGCCTGGCAAGCACAAGGTCATGAGTTCAATTCCCGGTACCGGAAAAAACAAACAAACAAATAAAAAAAAAAAAAAATTAAAAGGGTTTGGGGTAAAGATCAATGGTAGAGCACTTCTCTAGGCTGCCTGGGTACCTGAGTTCCGTCCACGGCAACTAAGTTAAAATAAAAGAAAAACATGTACAATAAAGCAAAAGAAGTAGTAAGAAGAAAGTTTATAGTAAGAAATTTCTGTTTTAAATTTGTTAATAATATGAAAGATTTCAAATAAACAATTTAGCAAGGGATGCCAAGGAACTAGAAAAGCACAAACAAAGCAAGTTCACCGTTGCAAGAGTTGATTTTCTATTGTGTTAATACAACTGACTTCTTCCAGGAGAATCCCTGCCTCACTGCTTCCTAATTGCCCAGAGTTTCCCTAATGCCCTGAGCGCTGGGCAGGGCTGTGGGCGTCTCCCCTCCCTACCCCTGACCTTCATGGAAGTTTCTCCCTCCAAGCTCAGTGCCTCTCTGCTCTCATCTGTCTGCAGCAGGAACCTGCATCTTCCCCGGAGCATCTCCAGGGCTGGGAGACCACTGCCCCAGACGACTGCCGTGCAGATGGACGGGCTGAGGGAGGCAGGAGATCCAAGGGAAGGCTGTGAGTGGAAGGACCAGCCCAGGGTAACCATGCACTGAAAGGGACCAGCTGAGGAAGGCTCTGTGTGTATTGGCTGCTGTGTCCTGGCATCAGTGCGGTGAGGATCAGTCAGGAACACTCAGAAGAAAGGGGAGCTCCACCTCAGCCTGGAGCCCAGCCAGCTTCAGCACTGGGAAAAAACTGCCCGAGTGTCTGCGGATGTCAGCTCCGCTTCCTGTGGGCTCCTGGCCTGCCCACCCTGTGAAGGGCAGACACCAGTCCCCAGCTGTGAAACTCTGTGTGTCAGGCACTGTGGTCTCATCCGTCCACAGTCTCACCTGGAGGTAGGAGACGCCATGACGGCCACACTCACGGCCCTGCTCTGTATTGGTGAGAACTGAACATGGGGATGGGAACCCCTAGACTGGAACCCCACAGCCAGGGCCTGGTCCACCAAGAGACCCAGGACTGAGGAGGCTGCGGGAAGCAGAGGACCTGCTCAGGCTCTAGGGTAAGGCTCTAACGGGGAACTCTCTTCCAGGGCTGAGTCTGAGACCCAGGACCCAAGTACAGGCAGGTGAGTGTGTCTCCATTTCTCTGGGGCCCCTCCTCCTCCTCCTGGGCACAAGGGGCCACCCCTGGGCAGAGGGGATGGAGCACAGCAGGAGTGGGCTGGTGCTGGGTGGCCTGGACTATGTCCTGGGGCTGAGAGCTGGGATCTGAGGGGAGGAGGAAGGTCCTGGGACCCAGCTGTGGTTTCCCTGCAGGGACCCTGCCCAAACCCGAGCTCTGGGCTGAGCCGGGATCTGTGATACCGCGGGGAGAACCTGTGACCCTCTGCTGTGAGGGGACCCTGGAGGCCCAGGAATATGTTCTGTACCAAGAGGGGAGCATAGCACCCTGGACAAGACAAACATCACTGAAACCGAAGAGCAGGGCCGTGTTCTCCATCCCATCCATGGCAGAGCGCCATGCGGGGCACCATCGCTGCTTCTACCGAACCCCTTCTGGCTGGTCACAGCCCAGCGAGCCCCTGGAGCTGGTGGTGAAAGGTGAGGGTCCAAGACCCAGGCTCTGCCCTCAGGAAGGGGTCTGCTCTCAGCCGTGTCCCCCTCTCACAGCCCAGCCCTGGGGTAGGTATGAGTCCTTTTCATACCCTGCCTGCTTCTCTCCTAGGAGTCTACAGCAAACCCAGCCTCTCAGCCCTGCCCAGCCCCGTGGTGGATTCAGGAGGGAGCGTCACCCTCAAGTGTAGCTCAAGGCAACAATTTGACAGGTTTATTCTGACTAAGAAAGGAACAGACAAGCTCTCCTGGAGCCTGGCCTCAGAGCGAGACCCCAGTGGGCAGGCCCAGGCTCTGTTACATGTGGGTCCCGTGACCCCCAACAACGAATGGACGTTCAGATGCTACGGCTGTTACCAGAGCCAACCCCAAGTGTGGTCGGAGCCCAGTGACCCCCTGGAGCTCCTGCTCTTAGGTGAGCAAGCCCCAGAGTTTTTCTTTAATGAATAAGGACCTTGTGCAGAGACCTTGGAAGCACCTGGTGGCGAGCTGCGTGAGGGGCCCAGGGATGCTGAACTCAGTGACAGGGTGTGGAGCTCAGTGAGACCAGAGACATGGGAACCCGGAGGAGACAGGGGAGGTAGAGATCAGAGGGTCCAGGGGGAAGCTGTGTCTGCAGGCAGCTCTCAAGTGTCTTCTGCTCATCCCTGATCAGCCTTAAAGTCGGCTCCATGCAGGACTCACTGTGCACAGTCAGAACACACCACCCCTTTTCACCTGCCTCCTTGCAGGGATCCAACCAAAACCCCAGCTCCGGGCTCAGCCAGGCTCTGTGGTACCAGAGGGGAGTCCTGTGACCCTGTGGTGTGAGGGGACCCTGGAGGCCCAGCGATACCATCTGTACAGAGAGGGCAGCCCGGCATTCTCAGTCACACAGACCTCACCCGAGCCCCGGAACAAGGCCAGGTTCTCCATCCCATCCATGACAGAAGATGATGCAGGGCGCTATCGCTGTTACTATCACACCTCTGCTGGCTGGTCACAGCACAGTGATACCCAGGAGCTGGTGGTGACAGGTGAGGGGACACTCGGGGCCCAGCCCCAGGCTCTGTTCCCTGGAAGGGCTCTGCTCTCAGGGGAGTCCCCCTCTCACAGCCCAGCCCTGGGGACAATGTGGGAGGTGGGAGTCCATTTCACACGCTGCCTCCTTCTCTCCTAGGAGTCTATAGCAAACCCAGCCTCGCAGCCCTGCCCAGCCCTGAGGTGACCTCAGGAGGGAACGTCACCCTCCAGTGTCGCTCACAGAAGGGATTTGACAGGTTCGTTCTGACTAAGGAAGGAGGAGACAAGCTCTCCTGGATGCTGGACTCACGGAGAGGCCCCAGTGGGCAGATGCAGGCCCTGTTCCGTGTGGGCCCTGTGACCCCCAGGCAGAGGTGGACGTTCAGGTGCTACGGCTATGACAGGAGGAAACCCCTGATATGGTCAGAGCCCAGTGACGTCCTGGAGCTCCTGGTCTCAGGTGAGAAAGTCCTTTCTTTGTCCCAAACTTGTTTGAGTCCCCGAGTAACTAAGATTACTACAGAGGATCCCAGGAGGAGGTTGGGTCAAGACATATACAGAACTAGGAACCTCAATATGACAGACAGGGAGACCCTCAGGGCAGGACAGGAGGGCAGTGGTGTGCCAGGAAGCAGTTCCTCAACACGGCTCCTCCTCCATTCAGGGCTGTCCAGGAAGCCCTCCCAAATGACCCAGCAGAGCCCTGTCCTGGCCCCTGGACACAACCTGACACTCAAGTGTCGTTCTGACCTCAACTATGACAGATTTGCTCTGTCCAAGGAGGGGACAGGTGACCTCCCCCAGAGCTCTGACCGACAGCCTCAAGCTGGGCTCTCTCAGGCCGACTTCCCCCTGGGCCCTGGGAGCCCCTCCCACGCGGGCTGCTACAGATGCTACAGTGCACACAGCCTCTCCTCCCAGTGGTCGGCCCCCAGTGACCCCCTGGACATCCTGATCACATGTGAGGAGCCCAGGGCTCAGTCAGGGACTCAGACTATGTACAGGCCCTGCTGGGGGAGCCCAGGAGGTGATGGCCAGGGTGAGGGTGGGTGTCAGGGAGGGAGAGAGACAGAGAGACAGAGGCGGGTGGGAGGGGCAGAGTCAGAGGAAGCAGACAGGTAGAGGGGAGGGCAGAGGTCCATTCCAGGGGCAGCCCGGCTCCCTAGCTCCTTTGAGTCCTCCTCCCCAGGGTGAGCTCCACCCCCACCCTCAGCACCCAGCTCCACAACAGGGAAGTCTCCAGCTCTGTCCCAAGTATGCTGTGTCCAGGCTGCCTGGAGACTCTCAGCCCATCTCAGTCCTGGTTCCAGTCCCGGTTCTGCTAGTGTCCGGGGACAAAGAAGTGTGACAGACTCCTAGATCCTCAGAGGCTTGGAACCCAGGCTGCCCTCCCCTCTACCCAGGCTGCATGGGCTGGTTTCAAAGCTGAGGGAGAGACTGGGGTCCAACCTGCAAGAGGAGCAGCAGCTGAAGTGGGGAGCAGGGAGCCCAGCCCCTCACCTCTCCATCCCTCCTAGGAAGCCCTGAGGATCAGCCCCTCACGCCAGAGTCCAGACCCCGGGGTGGTGAGTGTGGGCGCTGCTGGGAGGGTCCGGGGCGGGGCTGGCTGTGGGGCTGCTCCTCTGGAGACGCTGACTCAGACCAGCCCCTCCTGTGTGGGCCTCAGTTTCTCCAGGGGTAAAGGGGAGGCCTGGCCCCGACCTTCAAGTTCCTCTTGTGCTGACCTTGCTGTGAGCCCTGGAGAGGCGGCCTCCCAGGGAAGCCTCCAGCACCCCACACTGCAGGGGTCCTGTCCCTCTGTGCAGGGACGGTGACGGGGGGGGGCGGGTGCAGGGCCAGGGCAGGGTGTCCAGGCTCCTTCCCTCCAGATCAGCAGGCTCAGCTCTGCCGGGGAGAGCAGGGCCGGAAGTCCAGCTCCCCAAGTTCATCCCCACTGGGCTTCTTACTGGTTTCTGAGGTGGCAGCTCCCCTGTCTCTCGGTGACCTGCATGAGGGGGTGGTGATCCCACGTGCGGGACTGTGAGGGGGTGAGGGGGTACTGCAAGGACTGCACTTGGGCTGGGCGCCCCAGGTGCTCAATGAAGTGGCAATTTTTCTCTGTAAGGCAGCACTCCCGGCCCAGGCCTGCAAGGGAACTCTAAGGTTGTGATTGGGGCCTCTGTGGCCTCCTCCCTGCTGCTGCTCCTCCTCCTCCTCTTCTTCTTATGCTGGCGCCAGGGAAGAAGCAGGAGGGCAGGTGAGCAGGGAGGGTGGGACCTGGGCCTCAGAAAGTGGTGGGTGCCGTGGTCCCCAGGGAAACCTGTCCCAGGGGACCAGTCTGCACTCAATCTCCTGTGCAGAACCCAGAGCAGAGACTCTAGCCCAGAACACATGGCCCGTCGTGTAGGGGTCTCCGGTGGGGTCTGAGCTTCTCCACCTCAGGCCGCATCGGCTCCCTGGTCCCTGTGGTTAGAGTCTTCCTCCTGTCCTGCGTGGCCTGCGCATCGGGTGGTTCTGACCTCCTGGTTGAAGCTCTGTCCATCTCCCAGCCCAGAGAGAGGCCAACTTCCCATGTCCTGCAGGGGCCACGGCACCAGTGTGCCAGAAAAAAGACCTGCAGAAGAGGTCATTTCTGCCTGAGGACCCAGACTCCCCTCCTGACACCCCCTTATTTCCCCAGCTCCAGCCCTGCAGCTGCCATCCAGGAAGAGAACTTCTGTGAGAGGAAGAGCTGTGCAGGGTGAGAGATGCCCTGAGATCTCAGCACCATAGGCACAGGGGGAGCCTGGGTTTCAGGGCGGAGTCAGACTGAACCTCAACATCACACAGCTGCCTGGCTCTGTGTCCCCAGCTGGACGGGGCAGGGCCTGCGGGGCTGAGAGACCCCAGGACATTGGCCAGGAGGTGACCCCTCTTCTCTCCCTGCAGATGCCAACGTGAAGGACGCAGAGCCTGAGGACAGGGTGGAGCTGGACGCTCAGGTGAGACCCCCCCATCCAGGGCACAGGGACTTCCTGTCCCCCAGTTCAGTCCAGGGCGCTGCTCTGTCCTCCACCACTCAGCTCCCAGGGACCTCACAGCTGCGCCTCCCTTCTGGAAGCCCCGGCCTCCGCCTGCTGTGACCCCACCCTCTGCTGGTTTCCTGTGACCTCGGGTCCCCTCCCTCTGTCCCCTTCCTAAACATCAGCCTCTGTCTACCTGTTCCCTGCCCTGGGTCTCAGAAGGACCCTGAGTGAATGAGCACCCCACACCCCTGAGCCCCTCCCCCATTCTTCCAGTGTTATCGGGCGGCTCCCTCCTGACCCGGCTCCATGGGGGCTGCAGATACAGCAGTGAGCGCAGCCCCCTCCCACCCTTAGTCACCTCGAGGTGGGAGGCCAGTGTCAGAGAGCACAGAGCTGGGAAAGAAAATGAAGCACAGAAAGGGGTGGAGGGGCAGGAGGGCCAGTGAGAATCACAGGTGGGACTCTGGTAAGGTGACCGCTGAGCAGAAGCCTGCCTGGAGAGGGCCACACAGACCTCTAATGCACCAGCCCTGCAGGCAGAGCACAGGGCAAGTGCAAAGGTCCTGAGGCAGGGATGGGCTCCTTCAGGAAGGTGGGCCATGTGGCTGCAGCCCGGGGAGCAGGGTCTGAGTGTCAGGACGCAAGGGCAGCACTGCAGGAAGGAAGCGGTCAGACCTCCGAGGCCTTAGGAAGTCCCTGAAGGTCCATGAGGAAGGGACAGAGTCTGGTTTAATTTCTAAAGGATCCCTCTGGCCACCATGTGGTAAAGTGGCTGGAGGAGGCCAGCATGGAACCAAGGAGACCCCGTCTGTGCCTCTGTCTCTGTCTCCCTGCTGCAGAGCCTACCTGATGAGGACCCCCAGGGAGCCCAGGTGAAGCACTCAGCACCCAGGGGGGAGGGGTCTCCCCTCCTTTAGCCCTGTTGGGCAGCCTCTGGACACCAAGGATGGACATATAGGAGAGGACAGTCCGAGGACGCTCAGGTGGGTCCTGCGCTCCCCTGGACCCAGACTTCCCTTGTGTCATGTATGATCCTCCCCTCTCCCCATCTCACCTGCAGGCTGCTGCCCATGAGGGTCCCCAGGACATGACTTACGCCCAGCTTGGCAACTGGACACTTAGAGGACAGCTGCACCTCCTTCGTCCAGGATGGGGCCCTCCCAGGGGAGCCCAGTGTGTACAATGCCTTCTTCAGCTTGCTTTTGAAAATGCCAAATAAAACTGTACACAGGCCTTGGGACCAGTCAGGGCCAATGAGAAATTTAGGAAATTATTTTAAAAGCCTGTCAGGATATAAGCATTGAATCCTACAAGAGCTCAATGTTATCATAAGCCATGTTAAGCCTTACAAAAGGGATAAAAGGTATTGAGGTTATATGTTTTAATTGTGAAAAGATGAGACACCTCCATCAACAATGCACTGCTCCCGTCTGATGGGGAAACTCATCCACAGCTGCCAGTGAGGGATGCAGTAATCCTCCCAGGGAGAACGCAGAGCCAGCTCCTGGTCTGAGTCCCCAGTGTGACAAAGGAACCACCGGCAAGATACTGACATTCTAAGTATCATAAGGGTAGCACCCTTCTTTGGGGAAACTGGAGCCAAGCCAAGCCCTGGGCTCCCCAAATCACAGGGGTGGCCCCCACCATAAATCAGAGCCTGTTCCATGTTTATGCCATGCAAACCTTCAGGCAGATCTAGATCCTGGAGAGACGTTGCTTCCCTCACTTGTGGGACTCCAGGCAGCACAGAGTTAGATCTTCCTGGGGCCCAAAGAGTAACCCTCCACAAGGGAGATGAGCATCTGAGGATACTTACCAAAATTTGGGGGCCAATGCCTGAGAACACTATTGGCCTAATTATGGGCAAATATGCTTTAAATTTATAAGGCATAGGACTAACGTAGTAATTCATCCTGATTATAAAAGAATTCAAATTCTATGAATACTGGGTTTTCAGACCAGGTGATTATGTTGTTCAACTAATATTACTCTCAGTAAGAAAACCCTCTTTAATATGCTTTAGGAAACAATAGTAAAAAATGGAAACTTCAAGAGTACTTGTAGGAGGGAAATATATTTCACTCAGGAATTAACAGAAGAAAGACCTTTGTGTACTATTAAGATAGAAGGAAAATACATTCAGGGGTTAATCAACATCGTTGCTGATGATAGCTAAAGAACAATGACCCTCTTCTTGGCCTGTTAGAATGGCTACAACCTCATTGATGGGGCTTGGGTCACCTCAGCAAGTGTTACAAAGTGCAACTCCTTTATCTTATCTACAGCCAGAAAAACAGGTTAGAACTTTCCCATTTTAAATAGTGCCCACAACAGTAAACCTGTGGAGGAAGGATCTGTTAAAAGAACAGAAAATTGTGTTACCTAATGACCCTGCTCCTCTGGCAGGACAAATAATGACTAAAATGGGCCGTCAATCAGGCTTAGTCTTGGGAAAAAAATCTACAAGGCAATCCCA